ATCTATCTATCTATCTATCTATCTATCTATCTATCTATCTATCTATCCCAATCTTCCATCTTGTTCCAAAACCTTGAAAAAAAGGCTGTTCCTGCTGTGTCTCTTGGTAGGCAGAAGTGAAGAGGCACTCTTGCCTTCAAACTATAGATTCTTTGCTTTGGAGCCATAAAACAGTACAGTCTGTGCTCAATTATGATTCATTTTAGGGCTGAGATGAAAGCATTTGCCATATTTTTGTATTTTAAATTAAAAAGCCAGTTTTTTTAACATCCTTTGTCCTCATTTGCCAACATTGCACTTTAGCTCTGCTGGCTATGGTAGTAAATCTGATAGTTTTATCAAAATTATGAAGAAAAAACATCTATTCAACATAAGTACATAGACCCTTACAACAAAAATTCAATGATTCTGAGCAAATGAGGACATGAGTAGTGAAGACAAAAATGTAATTGTTCAGTGAGACTAATCTTTTTATCAATAATAATTTGTATTGATTTGCAGAGGACATTCATTGCAGCCCTAGTCAGATAAAGAAAGTAAATGAAGTTTGGGAAGTGATTTTGCTAATGTAGTTTTGGGTATTTTTCTATATGAGGCTTAAATTGTCTTTGAATTCTTCCCTTGCTACTTTTCATAATTACACAGTTGTGATTATCAGATTCAGAGTCAGCCCCTAGTCAGTTAATAACCATCATAGCCATTTTAATTTCCATTGTGGCACTGTGGGAAAGTAGAGCTGCAGATCTGTAGGGAAACCAATAGCTGGCCAAGGAGGGGGTCCAAGGTAGGGCATTTGGTACAGCCAGCATTATTGTTAGTTGCTGGAAAACAGGAGAGAGTCACTGTTTTGATTTCAGACTTATGTTGCATGCTAATTTAAGCAAACCTTATCTTTAGCCTCATATAGGAATGTATACAATACAGAAGAATGCTGGGAGGATACTAATGAAAAGTGAGCCAGGGTGATCAGACTGATAACTGGTTTGAGACTTACGGAGAAATGAAGTTGTTTGGACAGAGACAACTACACAAACACAGGTGTAAGAAAGAATATGGACACTATGCAGGAAATTGATGGTGAAATTGTTCAGATGACAGTCACAGAACTGAACAGGAGTCAGACTTAGCATTGACAGTATCTCACATTGCTGCTTCACACACAAACAGAATTTGCTGGATGCAGTTCTCCTAAAGCTAGCAAAGAAACATCTGGGTTTATGTATAATCTGTTCGAGATTGTACTTTCCAGATTTATCTTATTATATGCAAAGTGCTGTTGCCATTAAGCAGGAAAATATGAACATAAAGTTTACTTTATAAAAACAAAGACAACCACAAAAAGTTTTGGACAAAACTTCCATGTTTTATCTTCCTATTCCCCACAGACAGTATTCAATATTTATTACATTATTTCTATATCTTTCTATTGGCAAGTGTGCATCATTGTATCCAGGTAGACTCTCTCTCTCTCTCTCTCTCCTTCCCTCCCTCCCTCCCTCTCTCTCTCTCTGTGATAATTATTCTTAGAGGACAGTTAACTTATCTGTTACATCATCTGACAGATCCTTTCTCAATTTTTTTTCATTCTCTCTCTGCATCCAATGCATCAGGATATATAAGAATGCAATTTATAGTACAGTATGTAATAAAACAGAACAAAGAACAGAGCTTAATTTCTAGGCTGAAAAGGCACAAGAAGAATGAGGAAATGTTGAAAACAGTGTGGGAGAAGGGAGATAAGAAACGGAGGCCAACAACAATTCAGATTTAGACACATCTAAGACTAAAAAAAGAACTCTCTCTCTCTCTCTCTCTCTTTGTTGCAAGACAGGCTAGTTCCAAGCCATACGCCAAATAAACATCTGGTAAGAGGACATTTTGACTAATAATGGATTTTGTCCCCAAACAAAAGAGTTATTTTGTAAACAAAATAACCGGAAGGCCCTCATATGTGTTCATTAGCCCTGACCTTAAAGCTGTTTATTACAAATTAAATACAAATTTTTAGAGTATTTGTATTCTAAAAATTATGTTTAGGTGGCACGAGAGTACACAGCCCCTTAATGCAGTATTTTGAATTGTATATGAGTGAAAAATAAATAAATGAAAAAAATCCAGAATGGGAGAACAGCATGTTGAAACTTTTCCAGGATGGTTGTATACTGACATCCCATTCATCGTAGAGAAGATGATTGGCACACCATTTTGCCTCAGAATTGCAGTAACACAAGCAAAAGGCTGTGCTAGACTTATATTTGAACTGCAAATATTTAGACTAGGTGCAGTGGAGAGCTAGTAGTTCCTAGGTATCTTTCTGCTGGTATATCCAATAATCACCTAGTAGGCATTAAAGTGGAGAAATGTCCCATTAACCACAAAAGTGTGAATTATCAAGGCCATGATTTTCTCAACTGAAACACACAGTACTCTATAAATGAAGAAAAGGGATGCTTCTGAATTGAGATTTGGAAAAATTACTGAGGACACCTTGGACCACAAGAAGAGTACATAAACCATTCAGTATTAGATGAAGTTAAAGTAGACTGCCCGTTGGAAACATTAATAATGAAGCTAAAGCTTAAATGTGTTGGACATCTTATCCAAAGGTCACTGGAGAAGATCCTCACGCTTAGAAAAAGCTGGTTGACCAAAGACAAGGTTATTGGATATCTTCTCATATGATACAAGTAAGAGATTATAAGAACTTAAAGAAACAATGTTTAACAGACAATTGTGGCAACATGATGCTTATCAGGTCAACAACAGCCAAAGTGACCAAATGAGGGAACAGCAACAGCGACTACTCAGATCCAGGCAAGCCAGAGATGGTAGCTCTAAATTATAATTATTTAGTTCTTAGATTTATATTCTAGCTCTTCCCTAAGAGCTCAAGGCAGCTTACAGAAGCAGAGAGATTTCCCTTTATTTTATACCCACATCAGCAATCCTGTGAGGTGGATTAGGTTAAGGAGTGATTGACCCAAAGTCATTCAATATGGACCTAGAAAAATTTCTAGTGTGGATGAAGTTCCATTCATGCTGCAAACTGATTGGCACCATTTGCACTCCATATGTGACGAAGACCTTTCACACTACTGAATTAAGGTGTTCTCCACACATTCTTGAGGCATCAGAAAACTATATTGGCTTCACATTTGTTCTCATGCCCATCCGGCCTCTATTGCCTCTGTTTCCGTTCATTGCCATCACCTGATTCCTCTTCAAAAATGGGTGAGAAAGCCTTGTAGAATGTCCACACCCTGAACATATTAGGAGAATAAAAGAGAACAAGCCAAGGATGACTTAAATCTGTCACTCCTGACTGGTTATGAGGCAAAGGGAACACAGATGAAATAATAAATTGCCAAGGTGTGTTTGCATCCAGATTTGGCAGAAGTGAAGAAAGTACTCTCTACAAGCTGAAAAAGAAGTGTAGGGGATGCTTAAATAATTAGATCTATGTCTGTGGAGATTCTCAGTTATCCAGGTCATGGTTGCCCCAAAGATGCTTTTTCAAGCAACAACTGGACTTTCTGATTTTTCTTCGAAGCCATTTCGCTTCTTATCCAAGAAGCTTTTTCAGCTCTCAGTGGATTCCACTCCCCACTATCCAGTCAGAGCTGAAGAAGCTTCTTGGATGAGAAGCAAAATGGCTTCAAATCAAAACAGAAAATCCAGTTGTCTCTTGAAAAAGCACCTTTGGGACAATTAGCTCTATGAGTTTAGCCATTCTCTTGCCTTCACCTTTCAGATCTTTCAAACTGAAAGTCAACTGTCTCTGATCCCACAGGACACCATTCCATAGGATCAGAGAACCAGGTTTTTGGAAGAGCTGCCTTCCCTTTTGTTACTTGTTACTTCTTCCAATCTTGGCACCAGCTACCTGCAGAGAGCAAGGACAACCTGAGCTCTTTAAACTTGCTACAACTGCTATGTTGAGCCCAAAGCAATGGCTGGTGGCGGGGGGGGGGAGCTGTCTGATGCAGCCAGAGCCTCCTTCCCATTTCATGGCACATCCCCCCTTCCATGGTGAATTGGAGAGATCCTTCTGTCAAAGCCAGATCTCTGAGACCAGGATTGACTCAGAAATCATGTGAGTCCAAGTGAGAGGCAAATCTGTAAATTCTGGACTCTCCCACCATCCCAAACAGAATAATCCTGGGAAATAGTGTCCAGTCATATCAACCCTACACAAGTAGTGAATGAGTGCTGGGCTGATTCCCATCCTTGAAATCTCCACACACGGCACCAACTGTTTGATGAAGTGTACAGATTGTGCTCACAGGAAAATTGCCACAAAGTAGGCCACTGAAGAGGAAATGATATATTAATGTTAATATTAATATTGATATTAATATCTCATCCGTCACATCACTGAATTTAAATAAAATGAATTTCAATACTTTTCCCCAATGTTTTTTGGTGCATATTTGTCAGGTAAATTGAAAGAAAAACCCGTGGGTTTGCTCTCAGAAGCTATAAAAAAGGGAGTCTGAGTTTTAAAAAAATGTCAACAAGGTACTGAAATCCCACCAAGGTTTCTCAACTGTCATGCTGCCATTCTTCTGCTGTGTGAAAAGGTAGCAGTTTGACAATATGTAGGCCCTTTTCCCAATAGCAGTGACCATGGTTGCCTGTTGCTATGGTGGCTGGGTTGGAGAAGCTGGAAAGCGATCAATGCTGCTTAGAGACAGGAAGAGGATGCTGTACTGCTATGGAAAGGGAGGTGGGAGAAAATACAGTGGGTGGTTTGACCCAAGAAGATGGAAGATATGAGAATCCTTGCCAATAGGAAGGCAGATTGCCTATAGGGGTTGCAAAGCTTCAGTGATTCCAAGGAAAACACCAGCCTTGCTGCTATCACTAATAAAATGGAGCAGGCTTACTCGGTTCCCAAAATAGATGTTGGTGAGAGCAATGGTGATGATTTGTTAGGTCTGCCCACTCCAGAAGACAGTATAGATTCACAACTGATCCCTAAATGATACAAATGTATATGTGTGTCAGAATATTTTAAGTTGCAACCTTATGGGAGGTGAAATAAGCCATACTTAAAATAATAATAATAATAATAATAATAATAATAATAATAATAATAATAA